TCAGGTTTAAGGTCTCTATGAATGACCGGAGGATTTAATTCATGTAAATATTGAACGCATTCTAAGATCTCTTTGAATATATGACACGAAATGTAAAACTCGATTGAATTCATGGGTTCTTCCGGTTTTCGACCAAATACTTGTGGTTTGTGTTCAAGAATAGTCTGCAGACTATGGGAACACAATTCCATTTGAATATAATATACTTTGGCTTGACGCCATTGATTGAAATATTGGACACAATATTCTGACCTAACTTTTATCAATTTTTGCATTTCTTGCATACATTCCTGTAAGTTGTTATGACCTATAAATATATTAATCGTGATAATTATTAATTATTGAAATTTTACCAAACATTATTTTCAAAAACAGTATAATACATTATAATGCTACAATAGTTATATTAAATATATCTAAATATCTTTAAATTACTTTCAAATCTTATTTTCTTAACCGCATATTCGTGTCCATCATATTTCCATTTAACAACAAATACTTCCCCAAAAGCTCCCGAACCTAATGAATGCAACTCTTCACACACACGCTTGTATTCATTCACTTCGTAAACACCTATAAAACAAATTAAATACAATCAATCATTCATTTTTATTATAACTTCATTCAAAAGTACGTACTCAGCGGTGAAGGGATAAGTAATAAGCTTACTAACGAGTAAATTTAATTAATTATTAACTAGGACATCATAACTGGTATCAAACCATAATCTGATTCCTTTTACCTACCTACCCTAACCTATCTGACCAATAAACCAAACATCAAATAAATAGATACTATATTACTGCATTTATAACCCGTCTCACGAGCTTACACTCTATTGTATATAAATGCAAACTGGTGGTAGACTTTGCACATGAAACCATACATTCAAATAATAAATAAATAAAATAATTAAAAACAGTTAATCACTCGTCTCTCGCACTACAAAATCATTATGAATCATAACTTATGACTCATAATACACACAAAATTAAATTAATATGTTTAATGTTTAGAAAGCTTAATTGTTAGACATTTTTTAAATTCAAATTATAATGAGAGTTGGATTTAGCGTTCGAAATTAGACTATTGTAAAATGTACTAGTTAATATTTAACTTATTTCAAAGAAATTTGCATATATTTAGATTAATCTTGCTAATTTATCTATACTAATTCAGCAAATAAAGTTATTACTCAATAAAGATCTTGATAAAATCAATCTGCGCGCGTTCTGTTGCAATTTGTTAATAATTAATACTATCGATAACACTGTTAGTCGTGAAGTCAATGACTGACTGGCTGTACGTACTCTATGAATGACACCTCAACGCAATTCATACCATTGTTTGATAACTCTTTTATAGAAGAAAATACTTTTTCCAAATAATCCAAACATTTTGCAATAAATTCTTCGCAATTCTTNACCATTGTTTGATAACTCTTTTATAGAAGAAAATACTTTTTCCAAATAATCCAAACATTTTGCAATAAATTCTTCGCAATTCTTATAATTATATTCCTTATAATCACACAAATTAATGGTTTTATGAGTCATTTGATAACTACTTGTGAAACAGTCGAAGAAATTTGTATAAATTGTTTCATTTATAATATAGATTGGTTTGTCTGTAATTTGATATATTTTTTCATTCATTATTGCTGTAAAGCAACACCATTTTTCCTTAAATAATTCAATTTTATACATTTCTGTGAACCTCTGATCAGTTTTAAATAATTTTGGTGACATTTGTAACAAATATTCGTTGTTTTCATTTCTATATTGACCGCAGAACCTAATGAATCCATCGTTTGATAAGATGAAAGTGATGCCACCATTAGAACAGATAGTCTTAATACCAGTCATGTCTGCAATGAGTTGTGGTTCCCATATATTATCTGATGAATTGTGTCCCAAATTATACCAATGATTTCGACCCCAACTAAACGCTTGTCCCTCAGATGTGATGGCAAATGAAGAGTAAGCACAACAATAAATGCTTTTAATTTCGTGATTTGGATTGAAATGCACTCGAAATATGCCCTTATTTTGTATATCACTGTCTGGTCCACAACCTAACTGTCCGTCCATATTATAACCCCATCCATAGACACAGCCATCACTCGTGAGAATCATTGTGTGATAAAATCCACAACTTATTTGATTAATTGACTTATCTATGAATTTATAATCCAAAGGTACCGGTTCTAAATATAAATTATCCGTAATCTTGGGTGCCAAACCTAACTGTCCTTTCTCATTAATACCCCAACTATAGAGACAATTATCATGAGTGAGGGCTAACACAAAGTCTTCTCCATTAAAGAATTGTGTGATATTCTTGTGACACA